TCCAAAATGTGCGCCCATATGCTCATTTCCACACGAATCCACTCCTCTTCTCGTAAGCGCACGCTGTTCTATAGGAGTCTCGCACTCTCGAAAAATGTGTATCCGGTTCGACGGCTGGCCGCGGCGGGTGACCTCAATCCGTGCCAGAAAGTCGTCTCACATCGTAGCATAATATATGTGACTTCCAAACTATCATGACACAATGTCTCGATAGCTCAGACGGTTAAGGCTTATACCTATGGGGAGATTATTTTGCAATGCTGGGTTCGATCCTCATTGTCACCATCATTTTTTATTTTTTATTTTTTTTTAATGTGATGGATTATTCTGTTTCAATTTCTTAGTATAACTTTGATTTAAATTTATGTACGTTGTCAACTCTTTGTGTCGAATACATCAAAATAAATAATTTTTTAATGCTGTGTTACGTGAGATTGAGAAGCTGGTAAGGAGGTGCGTCACAAAAAGAACTTAACTCGTTAGTCAATTATTTATTAGCTTCTTGAAGGCAAAGGCATGTGTGTGTCTCGCGCGGTGTTCCCTACTTGTCGCCCGGCCTCTTGCCTAAAAGACGCTCAAGTAGCTTTACAGCAAGTAGCTCGACCTTTATAATTTTTAAATATGGTGTAGTGATTTAAACAGAAGATAAGTAGGGAACACCGCCCGAGACACACACATACCTTTGCCTTTGAGCAGCTAATAAATAATTGACCAACGAGTTCAGTTCTTTTTGTGACGCACCTCCTTACCAGCTTCTCAATCTCACGTAACACAGCATTGAAAAATTATTTATTTTGATGTATTCGACACAAAGAGTTGACAACGTACATAAATTTAAATAAAAGTTATACTGAGAAATTGAAACAGAATAATCCATCACATTAAAAAAACATAATAAGCCCTAACCGTCTGAGCTATCGAGACATTGTGTCATGATAGTTTGGAAGTCACATACGTTCATCGACAACCTCCGGAGCTTGGCCTACAGCTTATGATGAGTAAAATTGATAAATCTTTCTACTCATCTGTGATCGTGAAGTACGTAATTTCATATAATTTTATTAAATTCTTGTTAGGGTGGAAAAAAATTTAAGGTGTGTACTGGAGAAAGGTTGCAGTTACGGTGATGTAATTTCACAGAGTTTTCTTGTGACGATAAAAATTATTACTTAAAGTTTTTGCACGTGTAATCGAAATTATTATCAATACAAACACATACCAAGTTGAGATTGCAAAATAAATATAATAATTCCAGCGAGCCCCAGCGATGTTTAGGACAAGCTTTGGAGCTTTGTTATAAATATAAGTGACTTTTGACTGTAGCTTACACAGCTTCCCCTTAACACAGATGGCTCGCGTGCAAGTTCGTCGTTTCGTTTTTGCATTCTTGGACTCGACTCTTCGTCTATGTGATCTGATTTTTTTTAAATCACTTTGAAGGCCTTATTAATTATTTATTAACTTTTTTTACTTAAAGTCTTCTATTACTATTAATTAGGTAGACACGTAAGTAAAAATAAAATATTTAATAAGGTAGTAAAAGTTTTTTATGGTGCACTACTTAATTGATTTTTGCCTGTTGCTACAAAAAATAAATTAAACTTAAATTAGATATATATCATTTTGAGACTTTTTTCGTTTGTGCATGAATTTTTTATTGTTTTTTAACACTGCTTTACTTTTTAACAACTAAAACGACACGAAATAAGCTATCGCTAAAATTCAAAATAAATCTGAAGAATTATTATTAAGTTATAAGAAAAATTTTTATACGACATCCTATTTATTATTTTTTTCTCGAAATAGCAAAAAACTTATTTGTATGAATCGAATAAAAGTTAAATGAAGAAATATGTATAAGATACAAAAATACAATCTGAAGCTTATTGGACATTGAAAATAAAATTATTTAAGGTATTTAATATTTAATTTAAATTAAAATGTCTGCATAAGTATTAATAATAATAGAGTTTGTCGAGTAAAAAATACAGAATAACCAGTAAGACCACTGAAACAAAAAAAAAAGTCATTTTCATACTGAGATTCGAACCCGAGAATGCAAAAACGAAACGATAGACACGCGTGTGAGCCACCTGTGCTACGAAAGCACTGGGAGTCTTAAGGTCGGAAGTTAATCATGTTTATGGTGAAGGTCCGAAGCTTGTCCTAAATATGGAAGCTCGCTATGATTATACGATTTATTTTGCAATCTCAATTTGGTATTTATTTGTGTTAAAAATAATTTTTATTACACGTCCGAAGACTTTATTTTATAATTTGCATTATAAGATCATGTACTTACAATAATGCATAATCCAGATCGTATGACGTTGCTATAATATGTAGATATAAGTGCGCGTGTAATTAAAAGTTATAACATAGCGTTGTCCATAAGCGAGAAGAGCGGAGAGATTTTTCACACAATTTTTTAATCATAAGAGGGAATTAAAATAACAAAGAATCATAGTTTTTGTAAATAGTTAATGTAGGCGTTTAATGTTAGGGAATTTCTGAATCCTCGATAGCCGAGTGGTGAAGCGTGTTTGTGTCACACGCGGGCTCTAGCTACCTGGGTTCGATTCCACTTGTCTGCAGACTTTTTTTCGGATATTAATGTATATCCGAAGCCGGAGTGAGTAAGTATGTACAGAAGATAACCGACTTGTTAACGAAATAATTTTTCATTCAAGTTTAAATTTTAAGTACCATGGGATCAAAATGAATACTTTAAGAACTCTTTATGGATTAAGATTGAAAAAAAAAAGAACTCTTGGCGAACTTGTAAAGAATTTAAAAGAGGTGACATAAGTTGAATATTATAGGAATACTCTAAGAACACTTCAGGAACACTTTGCGAATACAAAAACAAGTTCCTTGGTGAATTCATAAAGAATTCTTTATGATTTGTGGTTGCCGTCTAGGTAGCCAGTCTATTGAATAATAATATGTTGAATTATAACGCAAGCAACTATTACCCAGAGGCCCGGGGAGCTTACTGGCCACTCTAATAAATAATGAAATGTTAAATAATACGCAAGCACCTATTATCCAGTGACCCAAGGCACCTACTAGCCTCTCTATTAAATAATAAATGATTAATTAATAACACGAGCGTCTATCACCTGCTAACCCAAGGTGCTGACTGGCCTTTCTATTAACAACCTAAGCGGAAACAATTCTATTTGATAAGATGGTAATAATAANTGAATATTATCCAGTAACCCGAGGTGCTTACTGACAGCTTTATGAAATAATAAAATATTACATTATAACGCAAGCGCCTATCACCTGATGAACCACGGTGCTTACTAAACACCCTATTCTATAATAAAATGTTAAAGAATAACACAAGCGGCTTTAACATAGCAACTCAATGTGCTTAGTGGTAACTACTTTAAATAATAAAATTTTAATCAATAACACAAGCACCATTCTCCTGATAACCGTGAGCACTTAATGGCTACTCTTGGAAATAATAAAATATTAAATAAAAACACAAGTGCCCATCACTTGGTGATATGGGGCTCTTACTGCCCTTCTGTTAAATAATTGAATGTCTAATAATAACACAAGTGCCTATTACATGATAACCTGTGGCGGTTACTGGCCAGTCTATTAGATTGTCAACTGTTTAACAATAAAACAAGCTCCTATTACCCAGTGACTTGTGGCGCTTATTGACCAGTCTATTAAATTAATTATTTAATGATTAACAATAACACTAGCGCTGAAACACAGCGACCTAGGGCGCTCACTGGCCGCTCTATGAAATAATAAAAGATTATTCAATTACTTAAGCGCCTATCACCAAATGACCCGGGGCGCTTACTGGTCACAATACTAATTAATAAAATGTTAAACAATAACACAAGTGTCTATTACCCACAAACCTAAGGCGCTTTCTGAGAGCTCTATTCAATAATAAAATATTAATTGATAACACAAGCGCCTATTCCCTGATGACCAGGGGGCGCTTACTGGGTAATCTAAAAAAAATAAAATGTTGAATAAACACACAATCGCCTGTTACCTGATAACCTCGAGTGCTTACTGGCTTTCCTATTAAAAAATAAAAGATACATAAATAACAAAAAAGTCTATCAACTGGTGACTGAGGTGCGTACTAAGCACTTTATTAAATAAAAAAATGTTAAACAATAACACAAACGCTGATTACCCAGACACCCCAAGCACTTACTGGTAGCTCTATTAAGTAATAGAATATTAAATAATAACACAAACGCCTATCACATGATGACCTGGAGTGCTTAGTAGCCACTCTATTAAATAAAAAAATGTTGGACAATAACACAAGCGCCGATTACTCTGTAACCGGGGAGCTTGCTGGCCCTTTCATTGAACATTTAAATTTTCAATAATAAGACAAGCGCCTATCATTTGATGACCTAGGTTGCTTACTAAACACCGTATAAACACAAGCGCCTATGAGCCGGTAACCCGTGGTGCTGATTGGCAGCTTTATTAAATAATAAAATAATAATGAATAACACAAGTGCCTTTACCCTGATGACTGTGAGCGCTTAATGGCTGCTGTTACAAATAATAAAATAATTAATAAAAACACAAGTGCCAATGAACCGGTAACCCGAGGTGTTGATTGGCAGCTCTTTTAAATAATAAAATAATAATTAATAACACAAGTGCCTTTACCCTGATGACTGTGAGCGCTTAATGGCTGCTGTTACAAATAATAAAATAATTAATAAAAACACAAGTGCCAATGAACCGGTAACCCGAGGTGTTGATTGGCAGCTCTTTTAAATAATAAAATAATAATTAATAACACAAGTGCCTTTACCCTGATGACTGTGAGCGCTCAATGGCTGCTCTTACAAGTAATAAAATAATTAATAAAAACATAAGCTCCTATTACCTGATGACTTAATGCGCTTACTGCCTTCTCTATTAAATAATTAAATGTTTAATAATAACTCAAGCGCCTATCTCCTTATGACCTGGCGCGCTTACAGGCCACTCTATTAAATACAAATATTATAAACTATAACGCAAGTGAACTCGATGAGAGTGTCGTCGGCGCCGTGCCGGCAGCACTTGTGCCTGCAACAGCACTCGGCTTCGCTCGTCGCGCTTCCAGGAGAGTGACGCGATTGCTGGGCGGGGACGGTCACCGGTGCCTCCCCCGAGGACACGGGGGAGTGCAGCTGCGGATCGGCACGCTTTATCACAGAGTTGCGGACGCAGAGATCGCTGGCTACCGAGCTGACGGAACTGGTGGTGCGGTAGCTCGTCGTCAGGGGCTCCTTTTTGATGGGCGTGTTGGCGCTGTTGTTGCTACTGCTGATGCTGTTGCTGCTGGTGCTACTGTTGACGATGGACTCGATGTTGCGATAGTCGACGCCGCTGGCGGCTTTGTCCTCGCTCTTGATCGGCGTCGATTGCATGCCGATGCGCGGGGTCGCCGCGAGCAGGTGATCGGGGGGCGAGGCCGGTGGACAGTGCCTTGCGTCGATCGCCGGATAACTGGACGGCCGGAAGGCCGAGAGGTGCCGGTCGGGGTGCATGTACTCCTCGTAGAGGGCCGAGTGACTGTACCGGCCGGTGGTCTGAAGCTCGTGCTCGTAGCTGCTCTTGGAGGACGAGAGCGAGAGCGAAGACGTGGGCGACGCCGTGGGCTGGTGAACGGTCTCGTGCTGGTCCTTGCGCTCCGGCAGATTGCTGTACACGTTGTTCCACTCGGTGAACTTTTGCTGATCGTCGAAACTCGTCGACGACGCTGCCTTTGGACTTTCGGTGCTAAACAATCAAGAAAGCAAAATATAAGGATCGGCGAAAAAAAGGTTGGTGCTGGTTTTTGTTTGTTTTCAAAATCACCGTGACTCATTAGGTGCAAGTTTAATCGTAAAGTGATGGCAAGATCGTCCTACCTGACGGACGAAACGACGGAGGTGTTGTTGCTGGTGACGTTACTCTCGAGACTAGAGTCCTTCTTGTCGGAGGAGTCCGACCTGGAGCTGCTCGCGGTGCTCTTTTCGGGACTGACGTCGCGCGGCGAGATCTTGGCAGGGGCAATGAGTTGCGCGTCCTCTTGGCGGGCAGTTGGCTGGACGATGCTCTTCTCGAGCAGCAGCAGCTTACCGTCGTGGTTGTTGTTGTTGTTGGTGGTGCCGGTAGCGCCGACGTAGTGGCGGTAGGTCTTGACGTGCTTGCGCAGGGAGGAGGGGTCGGTGTAGCGCTTCGGACAGCCGGGGATCTTGCAACAGTAGGGCTTGTCGACGGCGTGGGTGCGCGTGTGCTTGAAGCGGTCCGAGGAGTTGGAGTAAGCTTTGTTGCAGCCCTCGACTGGACACACGTAGGGCCGCTCGCCCGTATGCGAGCGCGCGTGGATCTTTAGGTTTTCGGCTCGGCTGAAGCTCTTGTCGCACTGGAAGCAGTGGTGCGGCTTCTCGTTCGTGTGGGTCCGCACGTGAACCAACATTTTGTACCTGAATTGTACAGTTAGCATAAATACATTGGCAAAAAGGCATTTTTTTTTTCCATTCATTGGTTTCAAACAAACGACCTGTCGTCATATTTTTTTAATAATTGCAATTTGATTTGAAAAACAGGTTCTGGCAAAATCACGAAAAGTTGGCGCTTGGCGCTAATTTTGTAGAAGAGAGAAAGGTGAGCAAAATCAATGCATGCAAACGTACCTCGCATTGAATCCACGCTCGCCCCTCTGGCATCCTTCCCAGCCGCAGTAGAAAAGTCCACGGGGACCGGATGCGGCGTGGAGCTGCTTGACGTGGCGCGCCAGTTGGTCCAGCGACGTGAACCACCTGCCGCAGTTTTGCCATCTGAAACAAGTCGAAAAGGAGGTCGATCCTTCAATCAGGTGCTCTCAAATTTTGGGCTCTCCCCACAACATGCTTTTTTCATCATTATTTTACAGTATCGCATCCTGCCATACGTTGTACTTTCATTACGCGAGTAGGGGTTTTTTTACTAAACGGCGCAATTGATCTCGACTTCTTCGCGCAAGCATGTGTATCGCCGAGGTATGTGCGGCGATTTGATTTCAAAAGAACATCATAGGAACGAGCTCGCAAGTCAATTGGCGTCATATGTGCACGAGCATGACAACAATGAACTATGAGAGTACTTTACTATTGCCTGCAGTAGATCTTTGTTATTTTTTTTTATTTCGTTTCCATCGTGTAGTACGTGACCGTATTGGAGTCGATCTAAGCTGCGCTGGCCTCCGCAAATCGACGCCAATTCCCCGCATCAACGAGTCAATNTATATATTAAAAATCTGTTTATATATTTTAATGAACTGTTGGTTTGTTACACTATGTAGGCTTTTTGGCAGCTCGCACGATCGCAGTCACTCTCTCTCACACGTTGTCGTTCTCTCGACACACGAGACCCGAATGCCTCATGCTTGCCTCTCTCGCCTCAACACTCTCGTTAGAGTGCCAGGAGCCGCCACGCCGCGTCGCTGCGCCCGCTTCAGCGTCTCGTTGTCTCGCGACTCTCGACTCTCGACTCCCATCACAGTCATCACATATCATGCCTTGTTTACACATACATATCGCAACGCAAGTAGCGCATACACACACGCACACAGTTGCCGTACATTTGTATAGATCAGTTTAGAGTAGGTAAGTATACATATATATTATAGGAGTATAACAATCGGCCATCCTACAGGAGCTTGGACCCCAAGCCCTTACATGTCATAATCTTCGTAACGTTTGGGTGGTCGACGTTCTCGCTTCCCGGATATTTGTGGTAGATTAATTTCTTTAAGCTTTTTACGATGATCAATTTCGCGCTTTTTTGAATTCTTATGTGTACCGCTGGTAGACTCATATGTTTCGCTATCGGAAGCTTCAGTTAAATCTTCACTCGCACTCTCATCTTCCATTGTATCGTGCTTGCTAATTTCGCTATCGGTACACCCTTGCCAAATTTTCATTTGACTCACATGAGCGGTTGTTTTACCTTTTACAGAATTTGTGATCAAACTTTTTATACTATACGTATCAGATGGCAATATTTTTTCGACTACAAATGGACCTTTATAACGAGATTTCAGTTTTGTTGATTTGCCAGTAGCTACCGGGTTGGTTTTAACAAAAATGATATCACCGACATTATACGTAACATTTTTTATTCTTGACTTATCGTATCTTTCTTTAGATTTATTTTGCTCAATTTCAATTTTTTGTATCGCTTCACGTCTAATTTCTTCTGGTACGCGATAGTTTTCAGCATCTATCGTTAGTTGACGAGTGTGACCCTCGGCAAATCGTGGTAAATACCCATACAACATCTCAAACGGGGTGCGATTGGTTGTTTTGTTTATGGAACTATTTAAATCGCGCTCAAGTCGCTCGATATGCCTATCCCATCCCGACGGATCACCATTCGCCAAATTTACCTGTAGCGCCGGTATTATTGTTTGGTTTAAACGTTCTATCTGCCCGTTAGCCTGAGCATGTCGGCTCGAATTTAGTGTATGTTTAATACCGTGGTGTTTACAAAATTCGTCGAACTGTTTTGACGTGAAGGATGTGCCTTGATCAGTGATAAAGCGATTAGGTGCTCCAAATTTATTCACGAATTTTTCAAGACATCTGACTGTCGTTGTTGCTTTTACATCCTTTACTGCATACAGTTGCACGAACTTCGTCAGATTGCATATCGCCGCTAATACATATTTATTGCCTCTAGGAGTCGAAACAAACGGACCTAAGTGATCTATGTGTACTATCGCAAAAGGTCTGTCACCTGGGGGTATAGGGTGCAATTCTCCTTTCCCTTTTCCTGACATATTTTTCGCTAGCAGACATTCGATGCATGACGCAATGTGACGCTTGACATATTTTTTCATGTGAGGAAAATAATAATAATTACTGATTCGAGCAACCGTTCGGTCGGTTCCGCAGTGACTCGTTAGGTCGTGATTTTTAATAACAATCGCCTTTCTCATGGCTCGTGGGACTACGTACAATTCTTTTCCGGACGCGCTAGTTTTATATAAAATTCCGCATCTTAACACGTAGTCGTATACCTCGCCTTTCTCACGTTTTGTTCTGTCGCGTTCAGGTTTTTCTAATATTTGGATTTTACGTGTCAGAGTTTCATCAGTACGTTGGTACATTAATATTTCGCCCTCGTGAACATTTACATTATACATGACTGCCCGATCTAACTCTTGAGGAGGTTCCGTAGGTGCTCGAGATAAAGCATCTACATGTTTCATGAGTTCTCCCTTGCGGTGTCGGATATCGTAGTCGAATTCTGCGATTGCGGACAGCCAACGAACAATCTGAGGGTTTTTGGTTTTCAAAGAATTGACATACACCAACGCTTGACAATCAGTGACGACAACAAAATGCAAGCCGATCAACCAAGGTCTCAACCGTTCCATTGCCCAAACGATAGCTAAAAATTCTAATCTACTAGAATGATAGGCGCGTTCAACATCGGATGTTCGACGGCTGATCGCATACACAGGGTGCATTTTATCGTTCACGTCAGATTGCAAAAGGATCGCCCCTAACCCGTCACCTGATGCATCGGTATGCAGCTCGGTCCGTTTTGCCTTTGCATTGTAATGTGCTAACACCGGCTCACTGCACAATTTACTCTTGATCTCGTTAAATGCGTTCTCACGATTATCGGTCCACACGAAGGGTGTTTCTCCTCTGAATAGTTCTACGATCGGTGCCGTAATTTTTGCGAAATCCTTAACAAATCTCCTGAAATAACTCGCCATTCCCAGAAATCTACGGGCTTCATGAACGTTCTGCGGTCTCGGAAACTCAGCGATAGCCTTTACCTTTTCTTTATTAGGCCTGACACCGTACCCATCAATCGTAAAACCCAAGTACATAACCATTTTCAATCCGAATTTACATTTTTTTAAATTTAAAGTAAGTCCCGCCTTTTTTAGTAGCTTCAAAATAAGTTCTAATTTTTCAAAAAATTCATCCCAAGATTTAGCGTAAATTAAAAAATCATCAATGAAATTCAGCGCGAGCTTATTTCCATATTTACCGAACACCTTCTTAATCAATTTTACAAAGTAAAATGGAGCGTTCATTAATCCGAACATAGCCCTTTCAAACTCTCCTGTCTCGTCTGGGGTAATAAAGGCGGTTTTTTCCTTCGCCTGCTCAGTCAGCGGCATTTGTAAATAACCGTGAGCCAAGTCTAAAGTTGCAAATATTTTTGCCCCATGAAGTTCCTCTAACCCGTCATCTACGTTAGGCATGGGGAAATTCATCCTTATAGTTTGACTATTCAGGCGCCGGTAATCAACTACGAGTCTATGTGTACCGTCCGACTTTTTCACTAATAAGCAGGGGCTTGCGTAAGCTGAATCCGTTTCGCGTGCAATGCCTACTCGCTTCCATTCGCCTACTATTTTTTTCATTATTTCGCGTTGCTCTGTGTTCGCTTTGTAAGGTTTGCAATATACAGGCCTACTACCGGGTATCTCGACTATATCCATGTATTGTTCTTGGCAACAGCCTATTTCAAGATCGTTCATTGCTGAACTTTCCCGGTATTTATTGAGCAGATATAAGAGATGGTCTTTTTGTTCAGCACTCATGTCGTCTGACATTGACACGTCGCTTTCTAATATACACTCGCGACGAGGGGGTATTTCCGGCGCGTTGCCTACGATTGACATAACCAAGTTGCTTAATGCATCGTCCTTTTTTACAATAATATCTGCTTTGCATGCGTTTTGTATAGGTAGTACTAAGTTCTCTTTATTCACCGTTATGTTAATAAAGTTAACGCTCGCACTTGGAATAAACGTCGTTGCGCTTGCCCTAACCTCATCGTGCGATTTTTTCCTATCGAAAATTGCGTCATCGAAATCATAGGTCAGCTCTGCACGATTCTTAAAAACTAATTTTTCGCCAACCTTAATGTACACAATATGAGGGAGTTCAGTAAAGTTGCGCCCGATGATAACATCGTGTGGTTGCACGTCATCAGGGACTACTCTGTAACACACATTGTTTACCTCACACTGATCTACACGAACGCGCACGTTTACTACACCAGGAGAAATTACCTCGTTGCCAACCTTACCGAATCCGACAAGTGTGTTCACAGCACGAACAAAAGAAAACTGGTTCGCTAGTACTAGAGACGCCTTTATTGTACAGTCCGAACTTCCCGCGTCAATCAAAGCCTCAAATCGCTCGCCATCTAACTCCACGACTTTCCTATACTTTTCCACGCTCGAGTTATCTAATGAATTGACAAGAAAAGAAGACGCATCGGATAACTTCTTAGGCCGTGAGCAATCTTTCGAGATATGACCGACTTCACCGCAATTAAAACATTTCGTCTCGCGTTTAACTGTACAATTTTTAGAAATATGACCGCGCTCGCGACAACGATAACACTTCACATTGATTTTTTCATCACCTGGTTTTTCTTCCGAAGGCTCTTCCTTGACGTTGACCGCACCTGTTGCTCCGCTGCTTCCTGCTGCATTGCCGGTCCACTGTGCCGAAGATTTAGATGTTGCATGTCGTTGTCCGTTGGCCGTAGCTCGCTGCGCGGCGTATGATTTCGCGCCTATGCGCTGTTTTCGGGCAGCTTCTAATCCTTCGAGCTCTTGGATGTTACGTAACAGCTCATCTGCGTCGAAGTGCGTGCGGCTTAAAATGGTGGTAGCAGTTGTTCTTGACCACAATCCAATTGCCATTTGCGTTTTAATTTCTTCGAACCCGAGATCTAAAGCCTTGCACAAGCGCATTTTGTCAAAATAATACTCTGCCGTGTTTTCGTTTTGACCTTGTGTACGATTAGACATTTCTTGGAATCTTTCCGTTAAAGACTTCTGTGTCATAAAGGTATTTGCAAACGCCTGTCGGAATTGCTGCCAGTTCGTAATGGCGTCGATGTTTGCCAAATACCAATTTTTCGCTGCCTTCGACAATCTGCTTCGCGCCGTCTCAAAGGCTACGGCTTCCGTCCACTTATGCAAAGTCGCGGTCGACTCAAGCTGCTTCAACCATGCACGAGCATGTCCCGGCCCTGTAAGTCCATCAAATTCAGCGATGTTGTGCGACAGGTCTGGTAAAACACTATAATTCCGATTCTGGTTAGCTTGGGCGTTATCGAGAATCAATGCATTCTGTCGCATAACCTCCGTCAAGGCCTGCACGAGCTCCGCCATGTTGTCTTGAGGCTGTGCTTGATTGTTGTTAATTTGAATTCCGCCTTGATTTACTAGGTTGCGTGGCCCTCCTTGCTGCTGTTGTTGCTGCTGTTGCATGAACAGCAAGGCGTTTGCTGCGTCGTTCCTATCCATCGCTCTTATATCTTGGAATGAACACGCTATCGTCGAAAATACTGGGCTGTGTACACGAGGTGCCTTTCGTCCTTTGTTACTTAATTCAGG